TGCTGCGAAAGTCAAATTTTGCCACTTATTTTCCCGATGTGAATAGACGTAGAAGCAATACTATGCAAAGTAGATAACTTGGCTATACCATAATGCAGTGCGATTCACCCACAAGCTGTAATAAGTAGTCTCGAAGGGAATTTGAAGTTCATTAAAATAACAATTTCTGACCGGTGATGGGGCAGAGTGGGTTAATAGCTAATGTATAAATTAATTTGAAAACCAAGTACTTATTGTAATTACTACTAGTATATATTTATGGAGAAATTGATATTACTGGTTATTATTGTATTGAACTTGAAGAATGTGTTATTTTTCTAAAAATCTTCTTTAATCGTTAACTTCAACATTTTTTTTCCGTATAATTTTTCGATATTTTATTTTAAAACAATAATAATAAAGAAAATAATATTTCGTCCAGAATTAACAAACAATTATTGAAAAATATTCATGAAAAACAATTTTTGTCTTGAAAATGGTTGTCGTTCAGCGAGTTGAAGATAAAAAAAATGATTAATTAAATTTCTGCATAGTACAGTTTCAACAAAGCTGTGTGTATATGAACCAGGCTGTGTATACTTATGAATAATTGGTAACCTATCTTACGATTTTTCCCGCCAAATGAAAAAACTCCTGATTGTGAATGAGGTGTTCAACATTAACTATTACAGTCACGTGTTTCTTCCGATCCGAGTACGATAAACAAAATACGAAGATTTGAACTCGTGTAATTATAAACTTCAACGGTATTTCTCATTTTTTGTCAACTTTAATGTCCTTGACACGCAATGAAATTTGTTGTTGGCGCTAACATCTCAACTGCAATGCCACATGGGAAAAATTAATCAAAAAGTTGACAAGCGTAGAGCGAGAAATACGCGACCTGACCCGTTATGATAGTCCACCCCTGCGAATGACGGGAATGAACTTGGACTCATTTGTCAATTCTGGTGATGACAGACTCGTCAGAGTAATTAGACGGCGGGTTGCTGTACCATAAATTTAAAAAAAAACCGGTTTGTCGTTCGTCATTACACGATGCCATTGACCCTGCGATATTCACAGGTCAAACCATACGGCACGAGTCGCCATGTTAATTCCATTACAACGCAACTTTTAGTTCATTATCGTGTTCGCCATATCTCAACCCTTCGACAGAGTTGAGAACTGTGACCTCGTTTCGTTCACCGAAGATTGCTCGGACACCCTGGTATACTGCCACCAGTCAGCCATTTCTGCCTTTTGAGAAAACGATCCATTCTTTAATTTTGCCGGCGGTTTTTTTCAAGTTCGAGTAGAAACAGGTCGCTATCAAATATTAATCCTCACGCAATGACCATTTATCTCTAATTATCTATCTACTATTAATATTATTACCTCAGTACTTTGGATGTAGCTAGCTATCCGGGAAAGGCGGGAAAACACACACCGATTGGCAAGCGCCGTTCTTTTGTTAAAAAAAAAAAAAACGGCACACACATGACCGCCCTCCCGTGTCGAGTTGACGCTGCCAAGAGAGTATATGGAATACAGATCAGGCTACCGTGACCTACGTGCATAGTATTCACAGACTACGCCAAACAAAATGGCGGCCACCAGTTTCCCGCGAGACAGATACAACTAACCCAACCTACAGTTCAGCTAGCAGCTCTTGTTACTTACCGTCTGCGCGTGTGTGTTCGCGTTGACGTCCTCTTCTCAAATCGACCCCGTTCAAGAATCCGAACTAAAATGAGCTAGAATAAATAATTTTTTTATCCTACACAAGATCGGTAATAAAATATAAATTATCATTTGACGTGTGTTGTGCAAACAGTTTGGCAAAAGTTTAACTTGGACTTGGTCATATGTTTATCTACCGTCTGCGATCGACTTGATACGAATTAATTTATTTCTTAAATTTCCACAAAATATTTTTTACATTTGTATTTCTGTTTCAAGCACAGATTAATATTCGTCAAACTTTTTGGCGCGTGGGCGATTTTGTTATTTTTTCGCCAATGTAATGTCTGTGTTTACTCAGGCCACCGATAGTGGCAGATGCGGTTACATTATGCAAATTAGGTGACCCGTGTCAATGATCGGTCCGAACTTGCCACACATCGCAGACAGTACAAAACGTACCAACAATCACACAGACTAAGAGGTCATTCTTTCGTTTTCTCAAGGAAATGTTTCCAACGACAACGGATCTCCTTTAATGGCAGCGTCGCATTCTCGTCTCGACACGTCTTAAATTCTCGTTAAGTTTTGTCTGTTTTATCGTCAATAATTCAGTTTTTTGGCAATTTTATGCTCTCCTGTCGAATCCGGAATTTACAGTTAACGATATGGAGCTTGTAAAACCAGTACCGCCTGCGATAAGGGGGTATTAAACTTTTCCGTTGCTAGGCCACGGATAAATGTCAATGTGTGCTTCACCCCAAGGTACTGCCTGTACCACCCTATGTCCCATCGCCGTTTTTATTCACATTCTTAAATAATTGTATTCAACTTGAACGTTTCTAAATACCAGAACCACTTAATATTCAATGTAAACAGCTAGTATGCAGAAGTATTAAAAAGGCGACAATAACAATTTATAAATATTTATGAATTGTTTTATTTCAATAAGTGAATCACACTCGTAATAATCGCAACACGACAAAATGGCGGATTAACTACACAACTATGAGACCTAAATACAACAATTTTAAACTATTTTCGTTATCGGTTACACATGTTATCACGTCTTAAAATCGAAGATAAGAGATGTGACTGTGTATAACCGAATACGTCTTTTGTCTACAAATATTTTTACAACCGAATTATATGTCGTATTTCATCGCTTACCGACGTTTGATGTGACTGGGGCCTAGAGGGTGTCCCCTTGTCCCCAATATCGGTGGGGTTACTGAGCAAACAAGACTACAATTTATAACCAATGCACACTCATTGCAAAGCTTTAGATACAGCCTTGAAGCGATTTATAAATGAAATAGGACATTTGGTCGGCCCAAAGGTCGCGCTCGTAGCCGATTTATTTTATTTATAGCGTTGTTAGCAGTCCGGACCCGCAGTCGAAGCCCCGATCATCAGCCCGAACGCAGGTGTGCTGGCCTCCCGATCAAGTCACCGCGATGCAGCTACGTTTTTTTATCTTTCTCAGGCGAAGATGTCTGATTGCTTCCTGCGATGGTCCACTAAGGCAGACGACCACTCCACAACTGTTGATGTTTTGCTTGTGCCGCCAACTTGACAAGTTCGGGCTGCTGTTGATACGATGTGAGAGGTGACGAAGATACATAGTCGTTTGAACAGCTCTGCCACGCCTAGCATATTCTTCTTGATGCCCGGTAAACTCAATCAGGCATACTGACAGCGCATTGACGTAGTCTGTGTCGTATTGACACCGCTGTGAGATTTTGATTTGGTAATTGTACATCATTTTGCTTTCAAATTTGAAATTTCGTTGAAAAAACCTGACTATAGTAAAAGCGGGAATCTCCGCCGAAGCTGATCGTTTTCTTTTTCATTTCTAGCGTTTCAAAATGTAGTCTTATATGGTGCCTTTTATTATCCTAAAGCCCATTTTAACAATGATAAGTCCGTTGTGTCGAATAATTACAGTTCGCAAAGCTGCAATTTCTAAAACGCGCCGAGATTGAAACGCGGGATTGACACACCCCGATTTGTTAACTGGAGTAGGGTTAGGACTTTCTATCTACGAACGATGTGTGCATATACTAATGTAGTGCGGACGTGTGGAACGTGTCACCTTTATGACCCCTTAGCATAGCTGCCCTACATTGTATTTTGACATTGAAGCGGCAGTCGCATTTTATCAAAAAAAATATACAAAAAAGGGGAACAAAAAAAGTAGTCAATCCGTGTATATTCAATCGCATGTGTAAATATATTCCTGAATTTGATAATAAATTAGTAGACGTACTATATGCAGGAGAAGGGGTGACAAAGCGACATTACGCGAATATATCAGTATAAAATAATTTATTATGATCAGGAACCCTCAAATTTGTAAAAAAAAAAAAATATATGTATGTATTTCTGAATACGAGTTTCCATATTTCGCGTTCGCGTTTTTGTCCCGCGGACTGATACGCCGACCAATGCCTCGGGCTTTGCGTATCTTGATCGACTCGGAAAACTGATGAAGGCGACTTCTGTCTTGACAAGGATTCCCAAACTGCCTCGATTTTGACCTGTAATGAGAACAATGCCGAATTAATTATGTGTGTTACCAATCTTTGACTACCTTCCCAACTAGCGATGCATGCATAGCAAGTCCCGTGGCAAACCAGATGCAATCGGCTAGCGATTCATTCATTAAATAAATTGTTTTTAATTATGAAAAGTACCAGTTTACGTACGCGGTCGCCGTTGCTGTTCGGATGCCCTGTTCTCGTGTGGATATTTCTCAGTTTCTACACAAACTTATATAACATTTCGGAAAAAAAATCTCTTGATAAGTCGACAGGGGCGATACAATGAATTTAATATTATCATTTTTTGACGCAGTTTCGTGAGACATGGTGTCCACCCTTTGTATAGATAAACATTTCAAATTTCGAACTACATACTACCCACTCCCTGCTCGGATGATGCTTAACCATAAACCGTTCTTTGAGCAATAAAATAACCGCTGTGCATAGCTATCCCAACAAAATGGGGTCGGGCAAAAATGAACACTATAGTTATAACCTACCAACTGTAAATTCATGCGTAATGTTTTTTGTACTTTACAATCTGTTTGCAAAATATTCGTGTTTCTGAATGTATGTTGCACTTATTGGACATTTTTTTTTTCTTTTTGCATTCTAAGTACGAATTGCAAACTTATCATAGTGCGCAATTCGGTGAAACAGTTAAACAGTTACATGCTGTTGAAGCGGGAGTTATTTGACATAGACATTGAACAAAATTTTTAAATAAATGTATGTTTTGCACCAAAACGATGGCGGGAAAAAAATACGTCTTTTGTGCAACGAAGACGCCAGGTGATATATCTCCACCAACCTCTACCCTGTAGATCCGAATTTGTGGTACGTACATTTTCACGAATTCGTTTCTACCGGTGACAGGTAGCTGCGAGGACACAACAACACCGAGGCCGCGGCCTAATTCGTCATCATAGTCCCGCCATTGTGATACGATGTGACACATCTTTTATCTTCTGTATTTACTAGCGTTATTCACTTTTTTTCAAGCGAATAATAATATGAATCTATATAACACAGTGGTGTAAGTTGTCGTTTGTGTGTACGTGTAGCCAGCGTTTCTGAACGCGTCGATGATTGGTAAAACGGACGGGTGTCAGACTAACACGATGCCCAAGGTGGGCGCAACATGCGACCGCGTTGTGTACTATTTCTTTAAAACAATAGATCGACTAAAAGGGGCAATAAAACAGTGACAATTATCATTACAATCGGAGCGCTAAACATCAAAGTGAACGGAGTGTCATTACCACTACCCTAGTTACTTTTTATTTGAAACGCACACGCCAAGGAAAGTCGCATTTATTTAACAGCTGCGTCGTCAACTAACTGTGTCTTCAGCTCACCTTGAAAATCGATCTTTGTGTGTGTTTTTTTACGGAAAAATCAATTTAAATGGAAAACAAATTCGGCAACGAGATATTAGCTTTGTACGCCTCATTCGGGCAGCGACTTTTCAAATAAAACACGCACATTTTGCCCGATTTCGATCGCGAAAGCAATTTTAAGCAAGTAAAATAATCTCTGTATTTTGTCGTTAACGAATACGTAATATTAACTAACTGCCGCTATCATTGTCATGCATGGATGGCAATTTAAAATTGTTGCTGTTAGTTTCAAATGAGTCGAACATGTTATATCCCTGCTTGGCTTGCTTAAGTCGGAACTTTCCCGCCAATAAAGGCGCTTTGCATAGAGAGATACTCTAGCTATTCTCGATTTATATAGACATTTAACATTGACGATATTCCTCTGATTCGAATAAAATCGTGTATATACATAAATTGTCATTTATTTATTTATTTTAAAAAAGATAGAACGAGAGAGGGGGAGAGGGGGAGAGAGAGAGAGAGAGAGAGAGAGAGAGAGAGAGAGAGAGAGAGAGAGAGAGAGAGAGAGAGAGAGAATGATTCGTACTCGACACGACATAATGATGGGCTGCTACGGTATATCACAGTGTCAAATAACATTATATACATTGTCAGTGACAACAGTTACCACACTATTGCGACAGTTTCAGCAGTCCTATCACATCACACTCCAGTCAGTTACACCTGTGTCGGCAAATATGCCGCCAACGAACCCATTTTCGTTCAAAACGGATGCAACATCCAATGTACCTAGTAAAATACCGACGGTTCGACAGAGTCAATAGTTGTATACGAAATTATACTACGAATTATTTTGTGGGGTTAAAATGTGAATTACAAAATGCAGAATTTGCAGTGTCGCCTTGTTCAAATTTGATAAATTCCTTGCCATGGAGACGGGGAGATTCGAAGGACGCAGGAAAACCCACACGTAAGAATCATGGTGTCGATCGCCTCAGCTATCTATCCATGTAGAACAGAACGTGGAAAACAGCTTTTGCAAATGTTGTGTCGGCTTCGAAGATGAAACACAAATGTTTTTTTTTTTCTGTTTTTTTTTTGTTTTTTTCAAGATGCAGTTTTTCTGTTTAACATGGTTTTTTCTCTACACATGCTTACTGCCTCGCTTCATGGCCCACCATATTGTCTGCTTTCTGTGGCTGAGATCAACCCTCTCACAAATGGCTGTCTAATATCATACCCAGAATCGCTGTCATATTTCACCACTTAAATGCGATTTTAAAATTTGGCTGATCGAGGTATTTTTTATAGAGTGAATTACGACATCACAGTTCGATAACAACACAATTTCGTTAGTTTAGTCAGGGGGGGGGGTGCAAGGCATACTTTGATGTTGACGTAGACCCGGCCTTGCAATGCTCACTATGCCGTGCAATGTTTTGAAACTGCGTTACCTGTATCTCGAGTGATAGATGTTGTTAGGACATATCCCTCGTTTCACAATTAAAGTGCGTATTTAAGTCACAGAGCGACGGGAGACGGTCCGATTTCGGGTACAGAGTCGACAGGTGGAGAGCACAATTGTGGTGTACAGCGCACCCGAATTTGAATCAGTTCTAGACTGTTTGTAGGGTAACCCCGACTGATAAATGCTGGACTAACTCGGACAAATATCAGAAGCCAGTTAAAAACAATAAATTTTACAAAGGGTCGAAGACGTCACAAGACGCCGGGTCAGTCCCCGACCGGCGGACCAGAGTCCGTCCGATAAATCTTCACCAACCTTGGAAACCTCAGAAATGCGCCTTTTCATTCAGCCCAAACCGACTCGCATTTTCACACGTATTTGTTAAAGTTGTTCTCGCAAATTGTACATTTTTTATTAGGTTTCGTTCGTTTGTTTAAGGTTTTATTGACGGGAAGAACTTGAATTATGTATGACGTCGACTGACGTGAAGGTGGTATTCTACATATTCAGAGTTAGTTGTATGTAGATTTGGTCGACATTTTCTCAGATAAAGGATGCATTGACCCCGTGACCAGACAAGTAAACTGCGTACACAAATTCACCAAAGGTCATTTTTTCCTTCACGATTGTCGTCTGCTAAAATAACATGTATATTTCTGACGGCCTTAGCATAAAAAAGATGAAGATGTATATATATACTTTTAGATTGCAAATAGAATATTCAAAAATGACAAATTTTTAAGTAAAAATATAACTGATATAAATAAAAACGTCAAAGAGTTTTTTTTTGTTTTTTTTTTTGGTGGAATTTGTTTCACTTCGTGAGTCTGGATCATACTAAGCCGGTCATGTCACTTACAAACTCATAAATTCAGCTTTGTTTATGTCGCGTTCAATTATCGGGCGGCAGACGACACTCAAAAACTAGAGCCACATAAATGTTCCCCGATTTTCCGATAGTGACGTGTTCTTGCTTCTTGCATACTAATTAGTCCGTCTTTTTCATTTCATCCACCTCATCGAAGTATAATTACGGATTTAGCCTCACTTATGTCTGTCTCGGGGTCAACTCCAGTTGAAATCCGCTGTAAGTCGTAAAACTTTACGACCATCTCCTCAATGTTTTCACAATGATCGTATGTATGTTTGTTTGTTAACACATTCCTCAGGTAAACCAAAAAAAAAAAGAGAGCACGGGTGTGTGTATATCCCGTGTATCGTCCTCGTCCGAGAAATAACGGCATTTGGTTTTGAGAAAGTTGTCGAAAAAGTCGAAAATCTTGAATATGGTTTCTATAATGTATTCACAATTAACAATTCATGGATGGAGACAACCCATTCCTACTGATATGTTTTCTATATATATCCATAAACTTATCCTACTAGATTACAATTTGCGATAGAAGCTACCAATTTGAATCCAGAGATGCCGCACCACGTCGAATCTCCCCCCACTTTCAATTATTTGTAAATAATTGTGTGCAATATAATCAGAACAATGTTGAGTTTTGTTGGTTTTATTTATAGATAGTTGGCTCAGTCTGCGCACGCGCACTGGAGCAAGTTTTGCACGTCCATGGCGACGGGCTGCACTTGTGCGTTGACATCATATTTGCAGTTGCGTATTTCAAAAACATCGCAAGGAGAAATGAATGACTCTATATTTTTATACTGAAATGAAAGATGTGTGAGTGTGACATCGAGTGTTTGTTCGATGTCTGGCCTTGACACATGTGAGCTACTTCTCACTAAATTTTCTTCACGTGACGGGGTCACGGGGTCACCGAAACCAACATCGTGCAAACACATCGGATGATTTATAACATTTACACCTGTGTTTGTCGTCATAGTAACAACTATCCTCGACAGTTACCGAGGTGGCGCAGTTCACAAAAAGTCTCAGGGATTTAGTTGTCGTGCTCCCCTTCGCGACAGGTGTGCCGGCATAGTATTGACGGGGGATTTTTCTCGGGGCGGGGGGGGGGGGGGCTATGACGTATCATTGTAAGACACGTGTGGCTGGAGAGGGCAGTCGTCATGTTTTTCCTGTTACAGAGTATTACCCGGCGTAACACCCTTTTATGTAACAAAAACGTAAATTTTTATTAAGTGAAAGTTCTTTTTTCATCGGTTCTCATTATGAATATGTGCACGTTCTTGTTGTTATGGAAACACGACAGTACATGTCATTCACAGCAAAATGCGTGACCACTTTGATCTTTTGGTATTATATTTATTTATTTTTTTTTTTTATTAGACGCATAAAATCCTTAGGAAAGGATAAAAAGGGTCTTACAGAAAGAAATTAAAAAACTACAATCTAAAAATAAAAACAAAAAATAAAAACTTTTCTAAAAATATAAAACAAATCAAAAACAATAAAGACAATTTGCAGTCAATGATGAATATAGAATATAGAATGAACACACAATGTAGCCTAATACACTGATAGTTGTTGCTGTTTTGTTCCATAGCTGTTTTTTTTAGGAAGACAGCTAAGGCTGGTGCTAGAGTATGGTTTCCCCGAATCAAAATGAATTTATTCTGACTATTTTCTTTATCAAAATTTGGAACTTTATTTTGTGCTGTCAGGAATAATTCGTCTCTATGGTGATTGTAAGCTGGACATTACATTACAAAATGTTGATCATCCTCATTAAGACGACGATGTTCGGACGGTAGATGATTATGGTGCGAGCCTGTTTTTGTTGGTTGGGTGGTTTCTTTTTTTTTGTTGAAGTGTTTGTGGTAATTATATACAGTATATATATCTTCAATCATTATCGAGATTCTCGTTGAATAGATCCAATCTTTCTTGAATATAGGTTGTTATCGTCGGCGTTTCTCCGTTCGATTTAAACTCGAACTTTGTTTGACTAATTTGCGGTTTCAGATATTTTTAAATTATGACTAACAATGTATTGTACCTCATTCCCTCATTGCCTTCCCGAAACACCAGATCCAAATAATATTTTAAATTAATCTGTTTCGCTGTCAATAGTATATTTACAAATTTCTTGATATTCGAGGAAAACAATTGTTGAGAAATCAAACATTTGTTCTTTGAAAAACGAATATTTAGGCC